CTTTTCTATTTGGAAATATTAATTTTATTGTTTAAATTAAGGTAAGAATAAGTTTATTTTAATATGATAAAAGACATTTAATAAGCAATTATTTAATAGTATTGTGTAAGTTAAAAGTTAGGCAAAGTATGTTCATTCAAAATATTAATTTACATCCAGCTATTTATATATATACATATCTCCTTTTATTTAAACATGTAGTAAAGACATATTTAAGGTAATGAAACATGAATTGGTCTAAATATTTCGTTTCATTAGTGCACTAAAAAATAAATGTGTTGTAACAATGGATTCGCAAAGTTGTAATAATGAATGTTTTAATAAACCGTTAAAGTTACAGAGATGCCGTTTATATATATATATTATGAGTTTGTATTTTGATCACTGTATAGCTTATGCGGGAATTCAAGATAAGGAAATTTGCATCTCATCACGTTAGTTATATAATTCATCTAATAAAATAAGACCAATTTATGTCTCTAGCCCTTAACTTACGCGCAAGGGTCTTTCTGTTTTCTGTGCAAAAGTTTAATGCCTGCAATATTTTATTGTATATTCTATGCATATAACATTGGGAAAACGTATAATCATCATGGCACTTATTTTACTCTTACTTTTGTTTAGGAGAAGTATGCCGAAGGTGACTCTATTTTAATACCAGCTATCACGCTTCAGATGGATGAGATAATACCGAATATAGATGAGGATGAAGAAGAGGATGAAATGGAAGGGAATAGTGCAACTTGGGAGATGGGATCATATGAAAAAGAGACGAAAGAAGATAATGAAAGAATTGAATTAGATCACAACTGTGAAGAGTCATTTCTAGAAACTGGATCTCACTTTAAAATGACCAGCTTAGACACTAATTTTGAGATAGACACAAAGAATACTATAGAAATACCCGTGACAGCGGTAGCCCCGAGGGCTTTCAATGATAGCCCAGTCTCCATAAGAGAAAGGGCCTCTGCTAAAGTAGTTCGCGACAGTGGTCGCTTAGTTACCGGGTCAAATTTTCCGGTAAACAATGAAGGCATCGGTATAGCAGAATTTCCTGCCATTTACCAGGGCTGGTCATGCAGTACCGAGGATTCAATCGTCCCTCAGTTCAATTTTCAGGACAAGGATGAAACAGCCAGAGGACAGGTTACATTGGAATATGGCCGTCAAGGAAAAAGACTTGAGCCAGATGAAGCTGAAGGCTGCGTGGGTGAAGCGAAGGAGGATGGCCTCAAGGAAGAGAGAGGAAATAGGATTAAAGTGTACAAAGCAGGGGAGGATGCATTCAACACAAGAGAAAAGTGGTTAATAGGAGAAGAAATAGAGAATCCTGTAGCTGCCTCTGATGACTGCAAACCAAGCGGACTTTTCTTACTCGACAGAAAAATCCGCTCTTCTATCAATTTGACTGGTCTAGAAGCAAACCCTTCACAGCCTACTCGCCCTGTTGCTAGCTACTATTATTATGAACCAACAGAAGGTGAAAATCGTGACGTAAGAGAAACAAATCTGACACAAATTCCAAGAACAATAAAACAAAAGTGTGCGGATCAGATGGATAGGAGGACATCCGGCCATTATAGCCCTCATTGGTATGGTCAGAATTCTTCAGATGTAGGTAAGCATAGCCGG